AGAATTTTTCAGTTTTGATGAAGTCCTCTTTATAAATTTTTATGGTTAGTTAAGCTTTTTTGGCATACCTCATCCCTTAGATATTCTCCCTTATTTTCTGCTAGAAAACTCATAGTTTTGGCTTTTACATGTGATTCTGAGATTTATCTCTGATTAACTTTTGTATATGATGTGTGAGGTAGGAGTCAAGACTCATTCCGCCCCTCCCCCGATGAGCTTCTAATTATTCTAGAACCAGCTGTTGAAAAGGCTTTATTTTCCCCAGTTGAGTTGCCTTAGCACTTTTATCTAATTGTCCATATAGGTTTGAGTCTATTCTAAGGTTGTTTTAATTCTGAAATTGTGAGTCATCTTTCCCCAATTAATGTCATGTTTTAATTACATGAGCAAACTCTCTCCAGGATATTCATGAAAGCACTGGACAAAAAAAAAAAACCCAACCTAAAACCAGGCAATTGAATTAGATCGAGGCCTTTCCTACCCTTTTTATTTAATTGTAAAACCTGTTCTCACCCCCCTCTCCACCCCTCCTATGTTCCTGACTCTGCCTACCTTCCTGGGTTTCTGTATGGAGTACACAAGGCCATGCAGATGGTTATTCCTTCCTATCTAGTCCCACATCCTGGGGGCAGGTGGGAGTCTTAGGCAGGGCAAAGGGAAGGGCAGGAATCCAGCTGTTTTTCAAAGAGAGAGAAACTTGACCTTTTACCAGGACTTATCTCTCATCCTGTCTTACGTTCTCAAGATAGTAGCTCCAGTTACTACAGGGAATTTTCTCAATAAATTTTCTTGCTCTTTGCAAAATACTATTGTAATTATTAAGCATGTGATGAAACAGAAAACTAACATTCAGGGCAACGAGTGGTATGAATTTCCTGCATTTTAGTTCAGTGACTGCATCTCAATGGCTATGTTCCCTTAGAGAAACGAATAAGATTTGTTTTCTTTAATGATTTGTCTGTCTGTTGAATACTCCCTTTTTAAGGCCATCCAAGATAAAAGCCGTATATCATTTTCATGACTATTTCCTCATAACTCCCGAGTGAGTCTGTAAGGAAAATATTTGTTTGCTGTGGTTGGCTGCATAATTCGTTTCACATTTTTCAAACGCCGACAATTTGCTCAGTACAAAGCACTCAACTGCCCATTCCCAGAATGTATTGTGTTTCCAGAGCTTATTGAGTGGACACCCGTCAGCAGTACTACTATTGTTTCTCCGGGTTTTTCTGTACCTCCTTTGTGTGCCCAGGTGCCCCGGCAACCTTGGGGAATGGGAATGACGTTCCTGCTCCTCTCATGTCTCAGGGTCGCATGTCCACCAAGTGCTGTGTGGGAGGCACTGAGGACAGTTTCAAAAGCAGAGGCTACCGGTCTGCCATTCACGTGGAATACCAGGAACACATAAATATTCAAACCTGCTGAGCCTGACTCTCTCTAGAATTGGTTTTCAAGTTGTTTTTTCTTTTCTTTTCTTTTTTTTAATTTATTTCAGAGAGGAAGGAAGAAGAAGAAGGAGAGAGAGAGAGAGAGAGAGAGAGAGAGAGAGAGAGAGAGAGAGAGAGAGAGACACATAGACATAAATGATGAGAGAGAATCATTGATTGGCTGCCTCCTGCACCTCCCTACTGGGAATCAAACCCGACACCTGTGTATGTACCCGGCTGGGAATCAAACCTCAACCTCCTGGTTCATAGGTTGACACTCAATCCCTGAGCCACAATGGCCGGGCTTTCAGGTTGCCTTTTCTTTGGATACGGTATTTTTCCACTTAGGTGTCCACATTTTAGCACTCAGCCCAGTAGAGATAATGTTAAAAAAAAAAAGTTTGGTTTGTTTTTTATTGCTATTTAGAGAGAGAGGAAGGAAGAGGGAGAGAAAGAACCGTCGATGTCTGAGAGAAGCATTGATCTGCTGCCTCCCACGCTCCTCCTGCCAGGATGGAGCTGGCCACCCGGGCATGTGCCCTGACTGGCAACCTTTCGGAGGATGACGCTCAACCAACTGAGCCACACCCATAACATGTTTTCCTTTATTCATAGAGCAAGAATTTACTTACAGACACCGAGGTAGAAGCTTATAACGTAAAGATGGATGACACGTGGTCCCAGGTCTCACAGAGGTTACAATCTAGTAGGGGAAACAGGTTGTAAACTGAGGGAGAGCAAGGCCGTAACAGCAGTCTGCACGAGACATCCTGTGGGTGCAGCAGAGCCACACCTTCTGCAGACCTGGGGACGGTGGGGAGAGTCTTCCCCAAGGAGGCAATGCTGCGCTGCGTCCTAGAGCACAGGCTGCCCTTATATCAGAGAACGAGTCTGTTTTGTGGCCTTACACCAGAATCGTCTTATTTACATCTGATTCTAGACAACAGAAGCAGCTCTCCTAGAAAGACATAAAGATGTAAGTGAAAGAAATGCAGCGTAATTATCAACTGCAGCTGTATAATCATCCATGAACAAGTGCTGGGGACTCCCGAGGCAGGAAGGTGGAGGGAGAGTGGGCTGTTCTTGATGAATGTTGGTGCAGGAGTGTCTTTGTCCATTTGGGCTGCTCTAGTAAAAGTTCCACAGACACCGGGTGGTGCTCAATAAACAACTGAAATCACTTGTCACAGTTCCGCATGCTGGGAAGTCCAGGATCAAGGCACCAGCATGGTTGAGTTCTATGGAAGGCCCTTTGCCTGGTTATCGCTGGCAGCTTCTCCCTGTGTCCTCACAGGCGAAAGGAGTTAGAGAGCTCTGTGGGGTCTCCTTTATAAGAGCATTAATCCCATTCATAAGGGCTCCAGCATCAGTTCTCAACCTGTGGGTCGCGACCCCTTTGGCGGTCGAACGACCCTTTCACATGGGTCTCCTAAGACCATCCTGCATATCAGATATTTACATTACGATTCATAACAGTAGCAACATTACAGTTATGAAGTAGCAACGAAAATAATTATATGGTTGGGTCACAACATGAGGAACTGTATTTAAAGGGCCAGAAGGTTGAGAACCACTGGGCTCCAGCCTCATGACCTAATCACCTCCCAAAGGCTCCACCTCCAGACACCATCACCTTTGGAGGTCAGGATAGCAACACATGAATTTGTAGGGCGGGTGGGGCGACACAACATCCGAGCAATAGCGAGGAGGAATGGCATGTTTGAGGTTGGAGGTGATGACAGCAGCCTGGTTTGCCTGCTGAGTGTGGAAAATATGATGTGGAACCGTCAGTCCAAATGGAGGGCCATAAAACTCACTGTTTGGAACATTGATGCTGTAATTGGGAATCATTTCCAGATTATAAAGACATGGGTGATGTGGATAAGGCATTGTTTTTGAAACAATGGTTGTTTTCTGCTGGTCCTCTTCCTGACCTCTAGTTCTTGGTGTTTTTAGCCCCTAAATATGGGTATTTTTTAAACAGTGGCCCTTAGTTCACTTCTCTCCCTACAGCATTGCCCTCCAAACTGCACTCCTGGGTGTGCCCTCAGGGTGTCCTGGACAAGTAGGAGAGAGGAGCCAAGGGGATGGCTGTGCCTGTCTCCATCCCACACAGATTCATTTACCTGTTCTCTATATTGTGGTTCATAGAAAGGATCTAAGATCATTTTTTTCTTGTTAGAAAACTCTGCTATTTTATCTCTGATGTTTGAACATAATCCTTTTACTTCGGCTAACTTCATTTATATTTGGTTCAGTATTTGACTCATGTGGGAGGATGGAATTCTCAGTCCCTTCAGATATTGCTTTGGAAAAATAACTTATAATGTTCATCTTAAATGTTTGTTATAGTGAAGTGGAAATATTTCAAGTGATGGTTCAATGATATTTGAGTGATGATCCAACCTAGACATCTTGAGGATAATATTTAAGACTTATGAACAATTAAAGAATCAGTATTTTTATAAATACTGTTATTATATCCTGGTAGATATTTCATTTTTTAGAGAAAAGCCAACATGTATTTCGTTGTACAAAGGACGTTTTTAAAAAAATTCTTTCCTCAACCCATTTTGCTACTTATTCCTTTGTGTGCATTACCTCCTATTCCTGTGATTCCTTGTGCCTCGATTCTTTCTGGGTAGTTTTTGAAATTCAGGTTGGAATAAGCCTGAGTTTGTACCAGTTTAGATATAACTAAATTACAAAATTATACAGTTTATTGCTGTTCCCATGACAAGAGTATCTTCTAGATATTCTTTTTAGTAGGTCATTGAATCTCTTTTACTTTATGGAGCAGTAAGAAATGCATGAAGGAATTTGAATTTCAGGAGGCTGTCTTGCATTTATATCTGAGCATTGGCATTTAGAGTCTATAAAATAAATTGTCAGTGAATGTTTTATTTACCTGTTAGACTCTCAGCTAGATCATCAAGTAGTGCTTTGCCAGATATATCGGGATGCACTTGATGGTACAGAAATGGAGGGTAAAACATTTAATCAAAAATATTTGTGTGCTGATCTCATGAGGATTTTAATGTCAGATAAAATACCTGTACATACAACACAGAAGCAAAAATTACTTGAGAAGGAAAACTGGCTCACTATCATAGGTATTCTTTTTCTCTATGAGCAAGAGAGTCATCATTTATTTAAATGTATTTTAGATTTAGAATTGTTATACTGCCTCCCCTGTCTAAATTGCCAAGTTTTTTGATAAAGCTGGCAGCGTGAGTGACAGCTGCAAACCCCAGGTTAGACTGCGGAGTTGGTTTCTCTCTGGCTTTCTCTCCTTTTAAGCCTCCCTTTCATGTGGAGCCAAGTGAAATGTAAGCTGTGCGGCTCCTCAGGGGCCGTGGCCTGATGAGAGGACGCAGAAGAAAGGCGGCCGTTCGGAAAGCCCGCCGAAGGCGCTGAGGGCAAAGGGCCCGGGTGCTGACATGACTCCCCGACCTTTCTAAGGAGATGAATGAGAAGGCAGTGCCTCCGTGAGCTCTGTGTGTATTTCACCCACAAGAGTAGTCCTAGGCTATCCAGCCAATTGTTCTGTCTTTATCCTTTAGATGTTGCGGAAGAAAAATACATTCTTTTATTGTTCTTCCAAGTCGTTAACCGTTTAGCCTTAATCATCTGCAGTCTGTGTGGGAATAGGTCTTTTAAAGATCACTGAACTTGGCTTGATTTGAAATCAGAGTAGAATTCATTTCATTTAATGTGGGAAACCTTCTTTTGAGAAATTCGACACAAACTGGCTTCTTTGCCTCTTTGAATTGAAAAAGAACACCATAGAAAAACACAGCCAGATGCACAAATGTCTGCTCCTGGGTTAGATTGCCATAAGCTTTATGACTCTTTCTCTGCAGTTATTGGTCATTGAAATAACCTTAGCAAGTCAGTGTGAATGAATGCATTTCAGGTTGCAGTCACAGAGATGTAACTAGGCTAACCATAATGGGTACCCCTGTGATAAGTTTTATCTTTGCTGCTCATTGTGATAAGCATGATTGATGGTTTTAGGAACACTTAATAGATTTTTGTGAGGTGGAAATGTTAATAAGTCCGTGAGGCCACTGGTGTGTAGAAGTGATCTGTGAAGGAATAAATTCCTTCAGTTCCCACATCAGCATATCACCAAAGAACCACACTGTGGGTAGTTTGGAATGTTACAGATCTCCTCAAGGAGCAGTTCAGAATGGTTTCTAAGAGTGCTCACTCAGAATCTCGGTGCATGGGTTTGGCTGGCATGGATTTGGGCAGAGCAGGCCAAAAAGAGCTAATTGAGGTGGGGGGAAAATCGAGAGAACAGGCCGTAATGGTGAATAGAGTTATTTGTCACCAAGTTTGTAATAGGATTTTCAATTAATTCATGCAGGCATCCAGTGCCTTACATTAGCCCTGTCAAGATGAACTACAGCCACATCTAAAACGCCATCCCCTATTAAACGGTGCATGTCTGTGAATTTGTAATTTCTTCTCTTCAACCAGAAGATGAATGGATTCCACTCAGAAAACAAATGTGGGCTTCAGAAGTACACGTTTCAAAACCCCGAACACTTCCTAGGAGGAGCATTCTTTGCATTGTTCTACAGTGAATATGTATTAAAATGTAATTGCTATGTGAATTCGTCCAAAAAGAAAGGCATTCAGCTGCATGGAGACAAATGCATTTTCAGGTGCTGTGTTTCCCTGGCGAACAGGCTTTTCATTCTGGGTGATGATGATGATGATGATGATAGTTCGCGCTTGTAGCACTTGCTGCCTGCTGGGCCATTTGTAGTGGTTTTCATACATTCATTCACTGAACCCTCACGACAACCCAGATGAAGAAAATGAGGCACAGAAAGGTCAAGCCGCTCAAGATCACACAGCTTGTAAGTGGCTGAGCTGGGATTCAAACCCAGGCATATGGCTCTGGAGTTTGGGCTCCCAAAAGGTTCCCTTTGCTGTCTGATCATGGCCCCATCAGCTATGTTGCAAGAATTCGTTTACTGCAGTCGTTGTCAGTGCTCTGTCTCTGGCTCAATCACTCTTGCTCTGTCCCTCATAGTAATATTTTTAAAAATTCATTTTTATTGATTTTGGAGAGGACGGGGAAGGGGGAGAGAGAAAGAAACATCAGTGATAAGAGAGAATCATTGATAGGCTGCCTCCTGCACACCCCCCACTGGGGATCGAGCCCACAGCCCGGGCATGTGCTCTGACCGGGAATTGAGCCATGACCTCCTGGTTCATAGGTTGACACTCAACCACTGAGCCATGCTGGCTGGACTCTCACCGTCATATTTATTGCTGTGTTTATTTACTGTTATTTCCTCAAACCTGACTTGGGAAGCACTGTTAATTGTGGTAACCAGACTTTGAGAAAGACATAGTAAAGAAGAGAGTGTAGGGAGGTCTCTCCGGGAGAGTAGACAGAGATTAGAATCCTTCCATAAGGTTGGACCTTGAATGGAATGTGACCGAAGTTCACAGGATTGTGAAGCACCTGAGTTCCTGATGGGCATTTCCCTTCTGGGGAAGCCAAAGGGGCAGCAGGGTTGTTTACAAGATTAGATCAAGGATGGGCAGCAGGAGTCAGGCCATTCGGGGCAGGATCTTAAGGCAGGGCCCCAAAGTCAGAGGGGTACATGAGGGTCCCAGGACTTCTGGAAGGCTCAGCCCCTGTCTTCCGGAGCATTGGCCTCCAGAGCAGCTCTCATTAACCAAACACAACATCCTACGGGCCAAGCCAAGACAAGACGCCTGCCAATAACATGTTGAGATCCAAGAATTGGCTGGTCCCCTTCAGCCAAACAAAATTAACAAAAAAAAGTTTGGCTTTTATAAGTAGGTCAGACTCTAAATCTCTGACTAGAAACCAAACTGTTTTTTTTAAAAAAAAAACTATATTACGGAGTTTTGTTGCCATCCAGGGTGTAGCACTCTCATCCGTTTTTTTGTTGTTGTTTTTTTGTGGGGGCGGGGACTAGGGAGAGGGTAGCAACATGAGTAATCCTCCCTCTTGCTCTACTTATTAGAAAGAGGAAACCTGAAAACTATTTCAACTAGTTGAGGCCTGTGCTTTGCACAGAGCTGTCTGCCTGCCAGCCCCACTTCCTGTCCGCTTCCCATCCTGCCGCCAGACTCATCTGCCTGGCACACGGCTCTTCTCATGGCTGGCCGTGCCTGCAGCCTGGGAGTGGCTTGTCACTGCCTGAGGGACATGGCAATGGAAGCTCTTTCACATGTCACTCAAGACTCTCCACAGTCGAGCCTCTGCCCACCTCTCCCAACTTGATATTCCGCAGTCCCTTTCCGGGAACACCACGTTCTGTAAAACCCCGTGTTCTGTATAAAACCCCACTCCCGCCGCACAGCACGCTCCATGTCTTTGCTGGGGCTGTGTTCTCTGCCTGCAGTGCCCTCACTCGCCTTTCGTTCTTCTACTCCAGCTTTGCCTGGCTGACTCCTCTGTATCCTTCAGTTGGCTCAGGTGTCACTTCCTCCAGGAAGTGTTTCACTTTTCGCCCACCACCGACCTGTGCTTTCTGCACCCCTGTCATATCTCTGTTGTTGAATTCCGTATCCTAGCATAACTCTATCATCGCGCTCACTACCCTGTATTATAATTCCATCTAACACCTTGTCCTTTAAGGATAAGAACTGAGCCCCATTCCTCTTTCAGTTCTCAGCACTAGCATGTTGTCTGCGATACATGTTTTCTGGATGAATGCATAAATTAATACGTACGTGAAAAGCAGGAGCCCAGGAATCTCATTCGGTGAATTATGATATACATGTTTGATTTGCCTTTTAGTCTTTAAATCAGTGATAGGCAGAAGTGTCCCAGATAGGCCAGAGCTCTTCTTAAAGTGACAGCTAATGCTCAAGAATGGGCACCTCCAATGCCATTGGGAAATATCACATTTAACCCATTTGATGATTAGGTTGCCTTGGCGCGCACACACATGACATTTTTAAACCTGTCATTTAAATTCAGAATGCAATTAATAACATTTATAACCTCAACTATTAGCATATCAACCCAGTGGTGCTCTGTAACCAGGAAAGCGCCAAGTTGAAGGATCTTATGCAGATTGTGAAAGACTGTATGTCTGTGTGATTACAGATGATAAACTCTGAGAGGGCAGCAGCTGTGGCTTTCTGACTCACTGTTGTATTCCAGGCCCTGGCACACAGTAGGCCCTCAATAAATACCAGTGTTCATGAGACAATAGGTCCTACTGTCCACATTAAAAGCAGTTGGGAGAGTTTTGCCCAAAGCCAAACTCTGATTCTAACCACCAAGTTTCCGAGCAGTCAGTCAGTGAATGAATTGTGCTCCTGTTTAATTTTTTCTTCTCAGTGCTTATCATTTATCCTGCTGAATATGGTAGTTACTATCAGGCAATAAGTTGTTGTTTTTTTAATGAGTTTATGAATTTTATACCAGAGAGCCAGACTCAGCAGTTGTATTTCCATGTATCAAATAAATACTCCTAGCATACCCCACAAAATGAGACTTAGGAGCAGAAGGCTAAATCCCAGGGGGTGTGCATGGGTGGTCAACTCTTCTTATTTCACTGTGACATATGTTTGTTTGTTATTTTTTTGGTGAGACACATGTATAATTTTTTTTATGTGAGATTTTCTTCCGAGGGCAACATGTTGGTTTGACCTTGGCTTGAAAAGAATGATAACACAGTTAAATTTTCAGACACGTTGAGGATGTTTTTCCATTAAAACTCATCTCTTTCTTTAAGGGTATACCTCAGTTACCATGTGCCAAAGCATTATACAACTACGAAGGGAAAGAGCCTGGAGACCTTAAATTCAGCAAAGGTGACATCATCATTCTGCGGCGACAAGTGGATGAAAATTGGTACCACGGGGAAGTCAACGGGATCCATGGATTTTTCCCCACCAACTTTGTGCAGATTATCAAACCGTTACCTCAGCCCCCACCTCAGTGCAAAGCACTTTATGACTTTGAGGTGAAAGACAAGGAAGCAGACAAAGATTGCCTCCCATTTGCAAAGGTAATGTCAGGGTGAGGTTGTTTTCCATTTGCCAATTAGTCCCCTGTACCTGGATACACAGCAATAGGGCTCATATTTCATTTTGCAAAAAAAAGGTAAAATAGTGTTATGTGAACTCTATCACTGTGCTTTTAAAAACACCTGGAAGCAGTCTTCTTAAAGTCACACACAAAGGAATTCTGTGCTTGGGTTGTTCTATATGAAAGGTAATTTTGGTTGATGCTCTGTGTGGTATCATTTTCATATTTAGAGCCTAAATTTAATTGTAGGTTGCTATACAGGGTATGTGTGCCACCAGGGATTTTAATTCACCAAATTATGAATAACAAAATGAAACAGCATTACTTCCTTATTTTCTATGTAAATTTCTTTGCTGGAATATATCAACTGAATTGATAATCCCTGTGTGCTTTGGAATTTTAAGTAGGATATTGTGTTTTGTGTAAAGAAAAACAGTGGAATATGCATTTAAATGGGCATTTGGTGTATTATCAGAGAGAAAGTGACGAGAGCCTGAGAATCCATCTAAAACATGGGTTCAAGAGGCTGGGTAGCACTAGAGGTTGCAATCTGTGGATCTAAACAAAGTGAGCAACCAACCCCTGGTTAGAAGGGGTTCTAGTTTAACAGCTCTCAGAAAGGGCACCAGGTTGACTGAAAGTTACCATTTAGTTCATCAAAACATTGGATTCATGTACTAAAGGCATGTCACAGGGTTTTTATTCATGTATTCTTAGAACTTTAGTCCCTTTATTGAAAAGATAAATTCAGTGACAAGCTTGATGGGGTCAGGTAGACTAATGTTTATTGTTTCTTTAGGATGATGTTCTGACTGTGATCCGCAGAGTGGATGAAAACTGGGCTGAAGGAATGCTGGCAGACAAAATAGGAATATTTCCAATTTCATATGTCGAGGTAAGTTCATCTGTAGACATGTATATGATGTTCGTATTTAGCTTAGCAAATAAATCTTAATCAAGCCACTGGAGTATTAAGAAGTCCTAATAATCATTTTGCAATATAGACATATATTAAATCATTGTGTTGCATACCTGAAAAAAAACAGTGTTGTATGCTAATTTTATATCAGTAAAACTTTGATTGGGGGAGACAAAAACTTAGTTTTTTTTAAAAAAAAATAATGTCCTTGTCCTGGCAGGGTACTCAGTTGGTAGGAGTATCATCCTGTACACCAAAAGGTTTTAGGTTCAATTCCTGGTTAGGACACATACCTAGGTTGTGGGTTTGATCCCCAGAAGGGGTCAGTATGGCAACTGATTGATGTTTCTCTCTTTCTTCCACCCTCACTAAGATCAATGGAAACATCCTTGGGTGAGGATTAAAATAATAATAATAATGTCCTCACAACACAGAGCACTAGGAATGCCCGGTTCCAGATCACAGATTGGATTAGGAAGAATTCCTCCCTCCTGTACTACAATAACAGGAGATTATGAGACTGAAATATTTGAAACCCTTCACTTTGTGCCCCTGCTGAAAGCGTCCTGTGTCTTGTGAAACCTCACTGTGTGCTTCCTATGCTGTTTCCAGGTGTTCTATCCCCTTTGCCAGCTTCTGGTTCGGAGGGTTGATAACGTTCCCGAGTAAGGTGGAAGATGAATGTGTCTGCTTATTTGTTTACCTTTATTATCTGCCACATCATCGGAATGAGAATAGTGATTTTCAGAATAGGCCTCCAGTAAACTCCAAGTGAATGAATGAATTTCTCTTCCATCCCAGGAGCAGCTTTTCCCTTCGCCCCCTTTTTTAATCAGCCTTATTCGGAAAGGTTATGTATGGCCAATCTGATGAAGTGAAGTCTTTTTAGAGAACATGTCTAAAATCACATGGTTGCATTATTTTAAGGAATAACACGAATTAAAAATGAACCAGGAAGTTCCAATTTACAATAAGCCTTCCTTACATGATGTACACACACTGTCATGTCCTTTAGGCGAAATAATTTTTTGCTGAAAACAAAATTGAAGGCAGCCTCAAAGAATGAAACACAGCCCAACCGACGACACAAAGTTAGCTGAGGTCACAGAAGGCTTCCGGAAGAGTGAGTTCTTAGTGGGTATCACTAAGTGTGTGATGGATGAAAGGGGTTAACCAAGAGAAATGGAAAAGATGAATTTTTATGGCAGGAAGAACATTTAGGCAGGCAGACCAGCATGTGCAAAAGCCAAAAAGTAAGAGCACTGATTGCTTAGGGAACTGAATGCGATTCTGTTATTTAAGATATCAAAGCATATAAAAAAGAAAAACCACTATCACTTATTCTCCCATCTTTTTATCTGAGGCATTTGTTTTGGCATGATTCTCAAAGCTAAAATGACACTCAGTTTCCCCCACAGATAGTGTGATATTGCCAAAGTTCCCACGAAAAATCAGTTGGAAAAGTAATTCAGACCATCTACGAGCCTTGAACTTGATCCACACCCTTCAGATAGTCTTGTTTATTGAAATATTTTTTTTTCCTCCTTTGAAAGTAAACACCAAAAACAATTCTTAACTGTCAGTCATTCCTTCCTGTCTATTATTTACATATTCTGACTCTGGGTCATGGAAAATGACAACGATTTCCAAGAATTCGAATAGTTACATTGAAGAGCATGGGTAAGCACAAGCTTCGCAAGGAAAGCCTGTCTTTACTTGTTAGGTATTATCAGTATTGCATGCCAGTACTTGGTGTGTGATGCAGGAAAAAGGATTGCTGTGCTTTTGTTATTGGACGGGTGTAGAATTGCTCACAGAGGCATAAAGATCCACCCAGGGGAAGTCCAGAGTCACTCGAATCATTGGATTATTTATAGTTACTCTGTCTTAAGTTGGAAAGAGAAACTGCTGCCCAAGTGGAAAGGATTTTCATTCTTTTCTTCTGCCTCTTTTCTTTCAAATGAGCGTTTTCCCTCATTTGAACCAGAATTTTGCCAGTTGAGACCAAGTAAACAAATCATCCATCTCTCAGAGACTCTGGCTGTTTCTTTGATGTCAGGCCATCAGATGGAAGTTTTGGTGGGGAGGGAAGCATGTGCGGATGAGTGACCTGGCTTAGCCTTTTTGCTAATACAGGGGAGAACATTTCAATAGCGACCTACTAAAATTCAACCATTTAAGTAAAGTTGAGATGGTCTTATGAGGCAGTCTCAGAGCTAAGCCAACTCTAGGAATCAAACTTGGGGCTTTTTTCTCAATAATGCTTTTTCTTTTGCTCTGTAAACCACTTCAGGGCCCAGACCATTCCCAGTATAAAAACAGGTTATGTTAAAAAAATTCATTTGTGAATTATTTTCTTTAGATCTTGTAAACATACATTTAAGTCTCCATCAGTATTAGCTCCTTTTGCTTTTTTCACTGTGCTGCCAAACACTGACCCCCCCCACCCCCACCCCACCTCCCACCAGATGTTTTGAGAAGATCAAATGAGATAATATACCTCAAAGGGTCTGGCACTGCTATGTCTTATGCACAGTGGTTTGGAGCTCAGATCAGACTGTGACTCAGAGTATGCCAGAGTGTAGTCATGATCAAATAAAAGACTCTCACCACCACGTATAATGAGGGAAATGAGTTCAGAACTGAATTCCGAGTTTCCAGAGGAATGTCCTCATTTGCCATAGGCTTGTCAGCAGAAGCTGGGACCTCCCCCACCACCCCAATTCCTCAGTTGGTTTTGGTAATGGAAAGGCCCAAGGAACTTGCATGTGTCAAAAACTAAACAGGATGGGCCTGGGGGTAGGATTCTGGACCTGGAGTAGGTTCCAGCTGTGGGATTAAGGAGTGGGGTAATTTGAAAGGAGCTAAGCATTAGAGATAGGTAAAGAGAGAATTGGGTGGGAGGACTGAGATAGTGGGAAACATTCCTGAACTAGTTGGCCCTCCCTTCTTATCTTCAACGGTCTTTTCTCTCTTCTCCCTCAAATGTGAATTGTGGTCTCTACCTGTGTTAGGATAGGTAATAGGTGGTAGTGATAGCGTGAGTTGCAAACAGATGGCCTGTTATTGAAGTACAGAATTCTTTAAGAGAAACTTGGCTGGGGGCATTGGGTAGGGGCAAGAATGGCTGTATAAATGGCTCTTCGCATTCTGTCCCTGGGAGACTTTGTTTAAATTCTTAAGATAGTGTTCTCTTGCTGTTCTCACATCCTCTCTTCCCTCCTGGAAACGTGTGCCTCAGACCTCTCTCCACTGAAGTCCCAGAGGTTGTGGATTCCAGTCTGTTTAGACCGGAGCTTCCTACATTTGAGCAGGTTGGAAGTGGTGAGGGGTAAGAGTTTCTTGGGGAAACCCAGGTAATTCTTGAAGACACCCTGCCAGGAAATGTATAAGAAAGTATATTTGTCAAGAACTGAATACAGTTTTTAAAAAAAGAATTTAGTATCTTGCTTCTTTCTTTGTTCAAAAATACCAGTGTTCTACCAAATAGAATAGAAAGATTTTAACACCCTCATTAATTTGGAGCTGACTCATGCAAGGTTAGCAGTCACTTGGGCAAGGATGACATGATTCTTAGCAAGCAGAAGGTTTGAACGAAGTAAGTGCTAAACATCGGATTATGGATGGTTTTTCAAAGACGATTGTGTATTGTAGGCTTATGGCAAACATACATTTTCATTAAAATTATCATTTTACTTTGATTCCTAGTCATTTGTTTAAAATACCACTTACCCAGTTTTAAAAAAAAATTAGCAACTTGCTCCTCCGCTGTAGATATAAAAATAAGCGTCCCTTATGTGCGTAGGGCATAAAGTAGGTGTGGCCTAATAGTCAAGTACTCTTAGTCTTTAGTTACTGCCAGAAAGAAGGGCTCCATGTCTTGTTCTGTAGACCTCTGCTCAAATGTCACTTCTGACAGGCTTCCCCTCACCACCTTATCTAAAGTAGTTCTTCCTCTTCTATTTGCTGTGCTTCACACACAAGGTGGTGTGATCATGGGGGAGAAAACTTGGACTCTGAGCCCAGGTGGCTGAGATTCAAGTCTTGACTCTGCCACTGATTGTCTGAGGGGCTTTGGGCCTGGTCTCCTCATTTGTAAAATAATAGAACCCCTTCGTAGAGTGAGCTAATTCCAATGGTAGTTATATACAGTGCCTGGCACCTGGTACGAGCTGAGTATGTGGTAACTATAATTATCATCAGTGTCAGTGTTACTCCTTCATAGCACTTTTTATTCTCTGTAACTTTTTCAAGTTATTTGTTAATGTGGTTACTGTCTCCCAATATTCTAGGCCCCCATTAGCATGTGAAGTCCTGAGGGCCAGCATCTTGTCTTTCTGGTTTACCTTGGTCTCCTGAGGTTCTGGTATAGCACCTGCCCCTAGTAGGCTCTCAGAAAGTATTGATTGAATGAATGAATGAGCAACCTGAGAACCTTTTGAACCAAAACCAAAAATGAACTGGTTTTTAGATGTTGCCAACTTTTATACTTCTTTTGGCATTACCTTCTAAGCATATATTTTATCGTTGGTTTATCTTCCTGCTATTTTGGAAGGTGTCTTGTGTAACCTTACTGAGATCTTTTTAAAATGAAGCTGGGTGAGTTGTTTGGTTATACCAAATTTAGAATTTTTCCAGACTAAGATAATGGTGAATTATTTTGGATACTCTGGAGATTAGATCATGGAGCCTCTATCTTTTATCTCTAATACTAGAGGCCCGATGCACGGAATTCATGCAAGAGTAGGCCTCCCCCCCCCCCCCCCCCCCCCCGGCTGCTGGCACTGGCTCTCTCACAGCCCCAGTTTCATCCCGAAGGCCTTCCGGTCTAATTGGCATATTATGCTTTTATTATTATAGATAGAGAAGATTCCCTAATACTTTCTGAGATGAATTGCCACCTGCCTGAGATTATTCCTTTGGTTATAGAATAAGCTGCACATATTTAATGTGTACAGTTGGAGGTATTGTTTGTT